GAGGCTGCCAGGTGAGGGAGTAGTTTAGGGCCTCATTTAAGTAAAGAGCCTTTCTGATAAGAGAGACTAATAATGGATGAGATGAAGATACTTTGAGATCCTAAGAAGGAAGTCCCTCTGAGGATTCTCGGGGAGTTGTAGAAATCAAGTAGCACTAGATGTGTGTACATGCATCAGTCCAATAGGCATTTCATGCTTCCTCTGTGCTGGGCACAACACTTGTTTTTTCACCCACATGTATAACTTAGTGGTTAATAGTGAGGCCTCATGTTTTTATCTGCCAGCTGTGTGACTTTGAGCCAATTCCTTAACATCTCTGAGTTTAGCTGTTTCATTTGTAAAAGGACCAGGATAGTTTGTTTCATAGGGTTGTTCAGAAAATTACCTATGTATGTGAAGAGTTTATCACTTGCCTGACACAAAATTCCAAACCAAAAAATCAAATTTACTGCCTTTGAGTAGGATCCAACTCATAGCAATCCCTCCTTGGGTTTCGGAGGCGGTATCATTATGGAAGTACATCGTCTAACCCTCTGAGGAGTGGCCGGTGACTATGAACCACCAGCCTTCTGATTAGCAGTCAGATGCCTTAGGCACTATGCTACCAGAGCCACCAACACAGATTGAGAAGATGCTACAATTTTTACCTAAATATTTAATAATAATAGTTAACATTTGGGAAGACTTCCCAAATGTTAACTATTAAGTATTTAGGTAAAAACCATGGCATCTTCTCATTGGGCTGATGGTAGAAAAATCCATTCTTCTGTAGCCACAAAACTTGACATATATTCTACAATATACTATGACTATATTTTCTAAATCACAAAACTATATGACCAGACAAAGGTATTTTTTATACTTGTGAATTTTATTGGGTAGAATGTATAAAAGTTGTACACTGAGTCTGTAAGCAGAAAACTTGACTGTGAGATGTAAATTAAGACTGGAATAAACGGAGAAACATGAATGTTCAAACTCTTCAAAATGCCAATCGGGTTTTTAAAATATTGACAACAAAGTCTAAAGTTCATTTGGGAGAATGAGTGATTTTACCTAATAAAGTTTTGAAACAACCAACCAACCAAAGGGATCTGTGTTTAGAGGGATTACTTTCACTACTAGATATTAAAACATATTTTCTGGGACAGTACTTCAAACATAAAATATAACTTGGTAATGGGGAGGCCTGTTTTAAACATAACACCCAAGATAGAAACCATTACAAGAACAAACTCATAGGTTTTACACGTAAAAACAAAACATTAAACTGAAAGGTTAAAGTACAAACTGAGATGCGTCTGCAACAAACTTAACAAAAGGTCATTACCTTTTACACGGGAGGTACAGACAACAAATATGAACCCTTTTGCACACACAGTACTGCGTTGTCAGTGAAGGCAAGCATGGGTATATGGATGGATAGATAGGTTGACAGGCTAAACGATTAGGTATGTCTATGAAATGGGGCATGTATCCAAGATCATATATAGGGTTGGCAGACAATGGTCCTATAAATTTATGTGAATGATCAGAATTCCCAGGTGTATAGTAGAGCTGACAAGGGGCAAGGTTGTGGTCACTGCTTGGTCACAGCCAGCTACCCA